CCACTGAGGCCATGCAGGGTCAACAGCTCAAAAAAAGATCAAAGAGCTCAATGAGGTCACTGCAAGCAAATCTGCGAAGACCGTGACTCCCCAGCGGAGACACAGACTGCTTGCGGGAGGGTCGCCTGTGTCAAATACATCATCAATTTACAAGTGTGTGAACGGGAGGCAACACTCACTTCAGAACCCACTTTCCATGCCTAAAACGTTTTATTTCTGTGCCGCAGTAGACCGTGAAAACCAAGATCAGAAGTACCAAACCACTAATGATGTCGTGTGCAAACTGCTACCTCTGATCTCATGCTGCTTGCCCCAGCTTGATGAATGCTCTCCCGATTTGACTCGATCGATGAAACGCTCTCCCGATCGATGAATGACCCGCACAAAGGAAAGCAATCATGGAAGGATTCCAGGGACTCCACCAGCCATGGTCCATGTCGTATGTTGTGGAAACATCATTAGTGCACCTGAGTTGCATTCTTCTTTTAGCCAAGATGTGTCTGCTGCGAACGCAAGTGGTATATGACCAATCTCCCAAATTTATACATACGTTACATTCTACAGTACATCATTCTACTCTTCTGATTCTTCTGACAAGTTGCCTTTAAAGGAAACAAATCGTTCAACTGTGGTGTGATGAAACAGGAGGCCAGCAAGGTCAACTACTCACACAGCATCTTCATGCAAATCAACATTGCCCTCACAGCATGAAAACATTACGAACTGCCGTGATCTGCTACGGCAACAACAGACGTACTAAGACTACGAATCCCGACATGACGAAGCCTTTGAGCCTTTCTGTCCCCATGCGTCGGCCCTCTCCTACACCTCGGATGACTGAGGATCGCCAAGACCGCGAAAGGCACGCGATCGACGACGACTGAGAGCTGTTGACTGAGAGCCTGATCATGGAGACTGCAAAGTCCTAGCTGGAGCTCTGAAAGACAAGGAGAAAAGAACAGAATCACATCGAACGAAGCTAGGGCAGCTAGGGTCTGGGACACCCGTAGTCCACTTCCATCTTGCTTCAAACTTCAGAAAGGTATCCTCCTTCCTTTAAACACAATAACTTATACAGTAAGTTATTAAGCGATATATGATTACCCTTAGTTTCGAAGTTCAGATTGGGACATGTCATTGCCAACAATGGAAAGCATTGGACGTCCTCGATGTGATCAACCACAATACTGGAAACTCTGCTGAATTAACCAGGGCCACAGCGGAACTTTCATGACTGAACATCGCCAATCCAGAAGGGAGTGTGCCCATCGATGTCGTGGGCTTCTGTCAATATATCAACTAATACAAGAGTCAGTAGAATTTGACAGGTACACTCCCGAAAACTAACATAGACCCTGACAATGGCCCCATGGAAGACGATTTTCCTCTACCAACGCAGTGGTTTTTCAGGGTCCATGTGGGCCTCTTCCAGGGCCCAGGACCATCCTGACAATGCGCTCGTAAACTGCAGGAGATTCGGAGAGACCTGGACCCTATATAGGAACAGTGTGACTGTCTTAAGACTTCACATCTCGGACTTGATCGAGCCCGGCTCCAGGCTCCGCTTTCTGCTTCGATGGACCGGTGGACCCGGTCGACTCGCTACCCCTCCCGGACGTTCGCATCTGTTGACGCAGCGAGGCTGCAACAACATATCTTACTGCAGCATCGTTGGATAGCAAACTTCTGCCAGCGAGCGCGTTTTTGATGTGCTGGGGAACAGGCTATATAAAAACATCTTCAAACCATGACTGCTTTGCTTTCGAGTGATCACAGGTTGCTGTACCCAACTTTCCACGCTGGTCGACCGTGCGACCGTGTTTTTCAGGGAGGAGATTTGGATGCCGGCATCGTTCCAAATCGGCCGACAGGGAGGTGGAACCACCATGCGTCCCCTCTCAACAAGCGATCCCATGGCGGTCCCGTGGCGGAGAGCATGCAGTTCTGGAGTCCTGCTTCAGCCGCAAACGCTCATTCCCGGTGGCGAATTTGGAAGTTGCATCCAAAAAAAAGGTGGTATTGGAAGTGGGTCACTCATTTCCAGAGGTCATGCCAATTCTAGAAGGGAAACGTCGACTGGTCACAGACCTACCTACTACCTACATGATAAAATGTTATAAGCAAGACATGACTTGCTTGCTTGCTCGATGTTGTCTTGAGCCGTTCTTGAAGAATAAAGCTCTGTGCTGACATGCTTCAGTGTCTGCACCAAGGGTGCATGGTGAACTTGAAGTCGTTTCACCAAGGGTCTATGCAGCTGCAGCTCCTTTGGTGGATTTGGCCCATCAAACGCCCGCCCGGTGCATGAATGGCGTGTTGCACGGCCTTTGCATCGGGGCGTCAGGGCCGGCCACAGTGGCCCTCCGAGGGCTTCATGCATGATGCTGCAGGTCTGCCTCGCTCTGATAAAAGGCGTTCTTCGTTTACCAGCTTCGGCTGTCACTGTGAGTCTAAAAGGAGCTTTGTGTTGCATCACAGTGTTGAGGTATTTGGGTTTCTTGAACCTGTGTTGCGAAAGCCTCTTTGGGAGTGACCTGTAGGTTACTCTACAACGGCTTTCTTTGAAGTAGAGCAGGGAGTGCTCTGGTGGCATCAACCGAATTGATTCAGCAACTCATTTTTCTCCTTGTCTCTTTTCGAGAAGCTTAATGTGTTCCACTTAGAAGCTGGGTGTATCAGAAAGGGCCCAGTTTCCTCAACGCAAAACTCTCCCTCTGACTATCCTGCACATACAGGCAAGCCCTGCTCGGAACCAAAACAAGAATCTGCAAGATGGGTGCAAGGTGGGTTTAAACGATCTCAAACATCTTCCGCAAGAACCAGCCCACATCTCATCGAACTTGCACTTTCAAACTTTGGCTCTGAATATCTTCATAACGTTTTCCAAACAGAACCATGAACGAACGAGTCAACGCCTCCTTCCCTGTCGCAGGCCTCCTCGACAGAGTGGAGCTGCATGGAGTTGGGGGAGGCTTCCGCGGTGACGGGAAGTCTCACATCGAGAGTCGGGAACACAGGGACATTTGCTGGAGCTTGAGAGGCGACGTTGGCTTGCATGTATTGGCTGCAGTTTCGTATTGCACATAGCATCAATTCTTTTTGGACAGTGCAACTGTGAGTGAACTCTCAGGAGATGTTCGTGTGGTGAGGAGAACATCTGCCTGAGTTTCAGTGCGCGTGATCATGGGTGCACTGCAGGACATGCCGTACGGCCTTTTTGGCAGCTCGGAGGTTTCCTGTCAAGTACACTATCTTAGTACGCTTGAAGAAGCGTTTCCGAAACCACCCACTCTTGCTTTTGCACATGCCTCTTTTGAGCTGGGCTTCTTCTAGCTAGCACTTCCTTGGGACTGTGCCAGTTGTGAAGAGTAGTTGGAGGCACTGTTGGAGGCTTGCAAAGCCTTTCAAGGCATCAGCTCAGGTGCCTGTGAGGAAACAGCTCAGGAACAACTTGGAGTTTGCCATCTGGTTAAATCAACTCAGGTGTGGAAACTGAATCAAGTCTCAACCCAAGTCTCAACCATTTGGCATAAAGCTGCGACCCTTCCAACCTCAGTGAGTTCGTCTCTGCACATCCATTCCCAAATCCAGTCGCGACCAGAAACCTGATCTATGCAGTGCAGTTAAAACTACTCAAAAAGAGCCGCTTTCTCAGAGTGTCTGAATCAAGATCACATCCTGCATCAGGACATCGCGCGATCGAACTGGTGCAAATCCGCCGTCTTTTTCGGCCATGATGCAGTGCTTTGGCGCTACAACAAAGAGGGTATTGCTGATGTACCGTTATTTTCATGGGGGCTCCAAGAGCGGACGTATCGATTGATTGACCTTTGTGGTGACCGCAAAGATATCATATCCGAAACAACTAACATTGCAGTGGACAAGTACGCTGTCCAAATTCAACACATGGAGCACACATATATAAACGTATAGCCATATAGCTGAACAATCCAACAATTGGTACTCCACATATATGCTTGTTCATTGAAGCATAAAGCTGCAGAGAGGCTCCAAGCTCAAGGAACATGCTGTAGAGCGACTCTAGGAGTGAACCCAACCTGCCAGCTGAATTGATACCTGGGCAACTGAAATGAACGTATCAAATCAAAACATGTCTCAAAACATATCAAAACTCAATGATTTCCGACCAAAACGCCTTGTTACTGCAAACCCACCCATAATCTCAACCAAAGACTGTATGAGTACCCATGCAAACACGGTTTTTCCTCCCGGAAATCAAACATCAAAACGGGTATGGAGCTCTAGCTGGACACGAGAATATCAAACAAAATCGTAGATCTACGATATCTACGTAAGAGAGAAAACAAACAGTTCCAAGTTCCAAAACCTCCTTTCCACCGCGCCTCTTTTGGAACTGCCTCGTGCAGCAAGTCTGTCTGAAAGCCACACAACCAAACAAGTACGAGGCTTTTTTCGATGGTGATGTCCTGTCACTGCATAGGCGGACCCGAGCTCGCGAAAGGGGTCTTGTAACAGAAAACCCAGTTGTACTGGGCAGGGATTCGATTTCGAACGCCACAAGGACGAGCGCGTTTGGTAGACGGGCCCTGCTAAACGCCGAGCCCACAAAGCCAAGTCCGGACACCGCGGACACCCGCGGACACCAGAAGTCAGTCCGGCCAGCTCTGCAAGTGAACGGAGCCGAAGAGTTGATCATTTGCCCAGCCGAAGAGTTGGTGATTGTTATTGTTGTATCCAGACATCATGTGGATTGACATATACAGAAATTCAATCTACTAAGATGAAATATTCCATGTCATGGTCTAGATTCGTCCATGATTCCACAAGATTCACCAAATGAACACGTCCAGCTGAACGACTTCGGCTGACAAGGGTCAGTCCACTGACCTTCGAGAAACTCGACTGACCTCGTCCTGGACCAGGACGGCTCGGCAGACCAGTTCCAACTCGGTGGATGACCGAGTCGTTCGCCGCCACCCGCCCGGCTGCGCCGACGAAGGTCGGACCCGTTTCCTGGCCTTCTTGTCCGCTAGCTGGTTGAAGAGCTGATCTTCAATCTGGGCATTCCTAGTCTGAAAACTTGAGAGGAGGGAGACACGAAAGGTAGGACAGCGAGAAGAGAAGAGAACGCGAGAAGCAAGAACAAAAACGGAATGTTCGACATGGTGATTTATCCCCTCGGAGGCGACCTTTCGTAAATATATTTATCCCCTAAAGGGCTACCTTTCGTGATGATCCCAGAACCGAAGCTCTGACATGTTGAAAGATGTCGAAAGCAAGTTTAAGGATATTACCGAGGATTACTGCGACCCAAACTACAGACTAGGAGAAAAGTTGATATACCGTTGTTCTAGAGTCCTAGCGAGTTCCTGTCTGCGTTTTGTATCGACTGGGCATTGCAGAAAAGCACACACACACAAAATAGGAGCTTCGCGTCCGTTGTTTACTCGCAGTCCTTCGAATAACTCGGATTTCCTGGAGGGCTCATCTTGTTTCTAGGAGCTTTGTGTTGAATACCTTTCCCCCTAGTTGTTGCCCAGTTGCCCCCCCCCAAGAGAGTAGAAAGGAACAATGGGGCTGTCCATGCTCATGCTCAGAGAAAAGATTGGGACAACCATACGTAGAGGTATTGACCTGCGACTTAGATACCCCTGACACTGGTGAAATATACAAATCCACCATCTCTGCTTCAACACGCTCTGTTCAGTATAAATGCACAAAGGACAATGCAAGTGGCCGATGCCAATCTGAGTAGCTGTGAAGCCACTCAATATGTCTTAAAGATCATTCCCACATAAAATGGGATACTTTGCTCGGTCGGTGGTCACTGTTCACAAATTAATTAGATGCATGTCCATCCCATCTGGTACCCTGTCATCCCTGTCACTAGCTGGATAGTAAGGGTCAAGCACCTGATCATTGATAACCGTCATATAAGAAAAAAACAAAATCATCCAACCTATTAAACCAAACTTAGGAGGTTGAAAACTATCATCAAAATTCAAAATCCAACCGCAAATCCTAATAGAACATCATATTATATATATATATATTTGGACTTCCAGAGAGCCCAAGTGAAAGATCTAAAGATTTGCCACCAGGAAAAAAACGGTACCAAACCTCTAACCCTTTCCAGTCTGCCTTTCACCGTCAAAGGTCCTCAAAACCAACGCATCCCTACCAAAGGACCACTCTAAGCCAACTTCCAACTTGTCCATCATCCATGCCCTCACCCACTATCAGCCACGTGCTCGGGATAAGGTTCACTTCCCGCCGGCTACCATCCTGCATCCATCAGTCCAAACGAGACAAGGAAATCTCAGGCTTGGGGAACCTGACAGGATCCAACCAGAACAGTCTCAAAGGAACAGTCGGCCGACCCCAAGCCTAGATGTTGACCAGTCTTCTACGATGGTTATGATGATTTAGTATGTTTTATTGTTGCTATCACTGCGAGTGCCTATATCAACTAATGAAAACAACAAGTGCTGTAGAATTTGAAAACCATGACCAGCTGGGCTTGGTGAATTGGCAGATCTGGGACAAACTCATAAAACTAGGAGGCCAACTTTGCAACCGGTTCACAGAGCCCGCCAGACTATAGAAACAAACAAACATATCAGGAGAACTCACTTTTGCCTTTCGCTGGGTTCTGACAAAAATATGGTTGTGTCGATCTGTTTTGCCAACTCTTTGTCGTAAAACAGGAGAGGCGTGGATTCTCTTTCCTGCAAAGTGGTTTCGGCTGGAAAGAGAATCCACGCCAGTACGTGACCCTTTGATATCCCAGGGTGAGGTCACTTAGGCCTGCACAAGGTTAGTTAGAGACTCCAAAGAGGTCACTTTGAAGGTCCTGGCAGTTGTTTTTTCCCCACCTCTCAGGTGAGGGTTGTTTTAGTTTTTACGTCAGCCCCATCTCCTCCTCCTCCGCCTCGTCCTCCTCCGCCTCCTCCGCCGGACCTCAACCGCGACCATCCACGCCCAGTGTTCCCTGCCGGACCTCAACCGCGAGCTCCAGACCCAAGTGTTCCCTGCCGGTCCTCAACCACGACCATCCGCGCCCAGTGTTCCCTGCCGGACCTCAACTGCGAGCTCCAGACCCAAGTGTTCCCCACCGGACCTCAACCGCGAACATCCGCGCCCAGTGTTCCCTGCCGGACCTCAGCCGCGAGCTCCAGGCCCAAACACAAACACAATCTTACCACCACAAAAACACTTCCAGAAAAATCAATCACAAACACGCAACCACAAACACAATCACAAACACAATACAAACACAATCACAAACACACAACCACAAACACACAACCACCAACACAATCACAAACGCGCAACCACAAACACAATCACAAACACACAACCACGAACACACAACCACAAACACAATCAAAAACGCAACCACAAACACACAACCACAAACACAATCACAAACGCAACCACAAACACACAATCACAACCACAAACACAATCACACACACATTCACAAACACCCAACCACAAACACACAACACAAACACACAATCACAAACACACAACCACAAACACCCAACCACAAACACCCAACCACAAACACCATCACAAACACAACCACAGCCACAATGACAAACAGGCAATGACAAGCACACAACCTAAACACAACCACAGCCACAACGACAAAGACGCAACCACAAGCACAACCACGAACACAATGTCACAAACGCAACCACAAACACACAACCACAAACACAATCACAAACACACAACCACAAACACGTAATCACAAGCACAAAGCCACAACCACAACACACAACCACAACACACAATCACAACACAATCACAGCACACAAACACAACGCACAACCGGAGGACCCAAGCAAAATCAATAACCACAAAACTCACCATAGTGTGGGAGCATTCAGTTCGAAGATATGCCAGAGTGACTGGGGTCGGATGCATGTCCATATCTGTTGGCGCAGCTGTTGCTGGAAATACGGTGGTCAGTAATTATACACAGTTAAGAGTAACCGGAAGCATGTCCACCTCTGTTCTTGCAGCTGTGTGCAAAGATGCTTGAGACAAACAACATCCTACTGCATGTATGTTACATTTAACTGGTATGATGGGATGCTGGGAAAATATAACTATATACAAATATCACTTCGCAATCTGTGCTTTGAAGCAGTTCAGCGCACATCTAGTCGATCGCGTGACGGAGGCAGGATGGCACATCGTGACAAGTCAGCAGCAGGAGTGTTCAGCATCTGTCCTTCTCCTCCTTCTACTCCTCCTCGTCGTCTTTCTCCTGATCTGTTTCTTCGCCAGGTCATGGCACAGGGTGACTGGGCTGTGACAGCTGCACAGGCGCGGAGTACGCGCGGATGCGAAAGTGACTTGTGAAAGCACACTGTGCAGGGGTGTACTCCTCGTCTTCTTTGTGGAAATGGTGCATGCAGAGGTCAAAACTGATTTGAAGCTAGGCGAGGAAACGAAGAAAATCGAAGTGATTCGCCGGCAGTTTCCTCTTTTGCATGGCATGCTTCGCACAGCTTACAGTGCGCAAGGCTTGTTTTTGGACGGAGGTGTGCTGGTTGATTTGCGTCGTTCCGGTGGCTTGGAGCATGCTCACATATATATATATATACATGTCATGCTGACACGTGGCCGCAAACTGAAGAATCTCATCCTACTGGGGTTCACCGAGCAAGTGGAGGATCTTTGACGCAAAGGTCCACCTACCTGCGAGAACTGACTGACAAGTTGGAAGCCAAAGCTGCTTCGACACTGGAGCGACTGCAGTCCTGGCCTGTCTATGATGCATTGCAAGCGCCCTGACATGTTGCTCTGCCTGTGGGACCTAATCAGTTTGACTGAAGCGGTCTGGTGGAGGAAGAGAATTGCAGTTCGAGCGGTCTGGTGAAGTCATACTGGCCTGTTTGTGGCTGGTTTATGCACAAGCTTCTGGCAGGTGGTGTGTTGACATGTTTAAGCATGTTTGGTTGCTGTTTATTACAAGCTTTTGACCATGGTTCAGGTGGTCCACCGGCATGTTTTGGCCATGTTTATGCAAAAACGTTTGACAGGCGGTGTGCTGACATGTTTGGGCATCTCTGTTTGTTCGCAAATATTTAGAAAGCTCTTGAGTTTGGATCAGGTGGCTCACTGGCCTGTTTGCCTCCTGTTTACTCAAACAGCTTTGACATCAGTCCTCCTTATTCAAAAAATGTTGACAGGCGGCGCGCTGACATGTTTTGGCCTGTTTGTTTTCGCACTACGATTCACGTGGTCCACTGCCATGTTTATAGCCTGCTTTTGCACAAGCACCAGGTAGACAGCTTCTTCAGATGTCTTTGTCAACCTCAGCCGACAACCGCTGCCAGGTGAAATGATTTGTATTATTAGTTGGGCACAGGTCTCCTGATGAAAGCATTCGCTTCGGACAAAACAGTAAGACTTGGCGCTGAAGGACTTGTGCTATGGGCTGAAATACGCAACGAGGGTGATGTCAACGTGGCTGTGTTGAAATGTCATGGTGGGGATCACTCGAAGTAAAGTATTGTTTTAAAGCAATCTGTGTCCATAAGATCGAAGGCCACATGAGCATACATGAGCCACCTTTATTCCTTACCCTTCCACCCACTTTTGATCACTTCTTGTATCTGTCAACCTCCTGCGAACCATTGCAAGTTGCGGTGGTAAAGACAGTCCTTAGTGGTGTACTGAGCTGAAAGCATGTCTTCCTGCACTCTGACCATTTCCACCTGAGACAGGTGCAAGCGCCGATCATCACGCGTGGTGCGCAAAACGTGCAGTACTGCAAGTTTGCAGCGCTTTTCGCTCCAGCAAATTGTTGATGACATATTTAAAGGTTTCATAATATTTGGTTTCATATCTAGTGATGGATGCTCACAATCTTTTGCGCAGGGTCCTTGTATGTCCTTGTTTTCGTTTTGGCGCCACGTGTGACGTCCCATCTTCCGACCACGAGACGTCTGGTTCCGCAGAAAAGTGCTGCGCTTTCCGCCTCGCCCCGGTTGATGGACTCCATAAAGTCGGAATAATTCACCACATCAGCCGCCTCGCCCCGAATCGGGTCAAGAAAAATGACATTCGTACAGAAGCTTTGGGCCGTCTCTCTGTAAAAACATGTACATTTTTTAGACAACTCCTTGGGAGTCTTTAGGAGTCCTGGAGGGAGTCCACGTGGGGCATGTTCCATTCTGGACACATCACACGTGTTCACCCATCTGGAATCCCATGGGCCGCACGACACCTATCGGAACGACACGTGTTCACCTCGCCTGCGCTGGTTGCAGGGTCACCACATAGCTCATCAGCAGTGCAGCAGCTGAGCTAGCAGCCCATCTGAGCTGGGCATCCGCCGGACCTTTCTTCGTACCCAAACTGCGCTGTGTTCGAAACGCGAATGCTGAGGATCCCCAAGTACGTAGCATCTACTAAGGTTCGTTTGGGCCCAACGAACCAGCCGTGACATGCAATGGAAGTGGGACAACGTCGGCAATAGTCAATAGTCGAAGAGGTCCGGGACAGGAGCGAAGGCTTGGCGAGGTTGTGCAAGGCAAACACTGTCCACGAGATCTCTTTGACCTTCAGTCCCTGTGGAGACAGCAAGACTTGCGCACTTTGGATTTTGGAGTTGATATAATCAAAACATGGTTCACAAAAGCACGTGGCGTTCTTGATTTGTGTCATGTTGGAATTTGGACACAAACTGAAATACAACCCAGTGAAGAAATAACTGCTACAGTATTTACAGTTCATCAGGGATAGCAGCTATAACTAAAACATGTCTTACCAAAAACAAAAGTTGTAAAATATCAATCAATGAATCCTTGTTATGAATCAGTCTTTTGAATTTGTTGTGATGCTTGTAGAAGTTGTCACAATGGCGAAGACTTGAATGTTGAACCGCCAACTCAATTTCCTGACACAAAGAAAACACACGTTTCCTGGTTTCTCTCCTGCGCAGCTTTTTGGGCATGCATAGCATTATATATAATATCGGTTATGTTATATTATCAGTATATTAAGGATTACAGTAATTAAATAACTAAATCAAGTCAATGGATTTGACTTCTGTGCCCACCTTGCCAGGCCTTCTACCCGGCAACACACCCTGATTGTGATCCGTGACTCTGAGGCTCCGGGCCCCGTAGTGCGTCCTCCACGCTCGACAAGACCTGCGGAGAGCGCAGTCTCGAGCGACAGTCTCGTCGACATGCATGTCGGTGCGAAGCACCACTGAAGGGATTCAGTGTGCAGTAGTTTTACAGTTTTACACCATAGAAAAACAAACACCAGAATTGTAAGGTGCAAAAACAATAGAAAACTCCCAACATGCTGTACTATACCGTACTCTTGTGACCTTGTGATCACACAATCCAAAAAGATCCTCTGACTCCAAGGGATCCCATTACATCCCAACATGAAGGTATGAAGAAAGCCAAACATCCAACATAGAAATGGTGGACTTTCTAGGCGTCCAAGGGGTGTTTGGCTAAAAAACCCACTGGCAAAGCGCACCTTCCTGAAGGGCACTCCCAGTGGCCATGGTAATGTTGATGGTGTGAATGATTGTTCAACCCGAATAAGACTAGTATACTGGGACTTTTGTTGGTGCTCCCATGGTTGTAGTTGTATGTCTTTGCTGCCAATTCTTTGTGCTCACTGCGTGCACCTCTGCAAACGCCCTGGCGGCAGGCGCTGTGAGCTGCTTGGACCGCTGCAGCTCTTCTTCAGCACATCTGCTTAGCTCAAGCAAGAGCCGTGGCAAGTGCTGCGGCCGAGGCTGTTGGAGGAGCTCCTGGTGTTTTCAGGAGCGCTCGACCAAGCAAACCGCAAGTGCTGCGCCTTGGGACTCCTCGAATGCTGTACACTTTCACGAGTCGTTGAATGAAGGAAAAAGCCCCCAGTAATTCAACGCATCTTTTCTGATATAATTATGATCAAAGGAAGTTTAGTGTGCAAAACTTCCGTGTTACGGACATTCAACAGCTGTTCAACCACCACTCATCATACACCACTCATCATACACCACTCATCATACACCACTCATCATACACCACTCATCATACACCA